TCTCCTCCGGTTATTAAATTTATCGGGTAGATGTTCACAACATTTCGCTGTACCACACACATCACATCTATGTATGCAATGACATCTTGACACCCTTCCTTTCCTTTGCAGAAAATTGTCAGAACTCCCCATGAAGAAGGGTGTAAAAGCTGTGTGATACTTGACTTTCTTTGCTTTTCTTATCACAAAGTTTTTAGAAAATGAGAATGGAGTCGGATAATCTTGTCTAGAGCCTTCTTAGAAATCCGGTAATCCTCTAATCATAGCTGTCCCAGGATTAATTTACAATGTAGACAAAGCATTCACCTAAATAATACCTTTGACTGAGCATACCTTGGATTTTCCAGTACAGTTAGCTTAAAGATATATTCACTGTGACAGTCCTTCACCCTATTTGTGGAGAGCCTACTAAGTGCCAGGCAGTGATCTAGGGGTTGTGATACAGCAGGAAATAATGGAAACAAGTTTCTGCTGTCACTATATATACAAATGGGGATAAGTGTTAAGAAAGACAAGAAAAGTGAAGCAGGAAATGGATATATAGATTGTGATCGCAGTAAGTGATCTATTTTATGTAAGAAAATAAGGGTGGACCTCTTTGATTTGAGGTTCATATTTGAACATAGACCTACATTCAATGAGGCAGCAGGAACTCATATAGACTCGTTTAAAACTCAGATAGCGTGGCTATCTGGGAGCAGAATAGTTCTCAGGCAGAAAGAATAGCAAGTACAAAGGATGAGGAATGACAAGAGGTCAGTGGGGCTGGAGCAGAGGGTTGAGTGGCAGAAATTAGGATCAGAGAAATAATTAATATAAGACATTGGATTGTACTTTTTATTTTAGGGTAAAAATTTACATATGGTAAAATGTGCAGGTGGATTCTAATTAAATAAACGCAAATGAAATGCAGAATATTTCCAACAACGCAGAAAATTCTGTGATTCTTTCTTATCCTTACAATCCTCCCATAGGCTACCATTGTTCTGATTTCTATCACAGAGATTAGTTTTATCTCTTTTTGAACTTCGTTTGAATGGAATCATACAATATACACTCTTTTGTGTCTGGCTTCATGTTTGTTTTTGTTTTTTCGGATTCATCTATATTGTTCTGTGTATGAGATATTCTTTGTTTTTTGTTTCCTGTAGCATTCCACTGTGTGAATATATCACCAACAGTTTATCAAACCTCACTGAAATTTGGGTTATTTCCAGTTTGGGGATATCATAAATGGAGCTTCCATGAATATTTGTGTATAAGTCTTTGTGGATGTAGGTTTTCATGTCTCTTGCATAAAAACTACCAACTGAGATTTTGTGGGTAAAGAACAGATGCATGTTTAACTATGTAAAATTTGCCATGTCAATTTTTCTAAAATGGTTGTGCCATTTTACACACCCACTACAATGTATAAAAACTCTAGTTCCATATTGTTGTTATTGTCTTTTTAATTTTAACTATTTTAGTGGGTTTGAAATAGAATTTTTATGTTGATTTAATTTGTGTTTTTCTGACAACTAGTGATGTTAAGCACTTTCTCATGTACTTCTTGGACATTTGTTCATCTTTTTCTATGAAGTGCTTGTTCAAGTCTTTTCTCCCCTTTTAATTGGCTTGTCTTTTTATCATGGAGTAGAAGGAGTCCTTTTTATATTCTGGTTATATTCCTGCTGGTACAGTGTCTCTTCTATAGTGGATCCTCTTGAGTGGGCATTACCATGCAATATGAAAATTGTCACACTTGGTGCTCCTTCCCATATGAACATTTTCATGTCACTATCCCAGATCTCCTTGGTCCTGATCTTCCAGTTGTTCTTTTTCCAGGTTCCTGACTGGTTTGCTAAGCCATTTAACTTTGTCCATGATTCTGTGTATTTTTTAGGCCCAGCTCAGGTAACCTCTCTTTCCATGAAAAGTAGATAACCAAATCACTGTCCAAACTTTGCCCCTGGGGAGAATTTCTCCTCATTCCTGTCTTCCAAGGCTTGCACCAAGATATTAAGCCAATGCGTTTGTGAACCAAGCTCAAATTTTTTAGCTTCTGTCAACTAGTGATAATGGATCCCCCATGTGACCTGAAGGAGGGGTAGTGGATAATGTGGGTGTCTAAGCTAGCTGATACATTTAATCATTTGATCTGTCCAGTCTTGCTTGTTCTTGATCCTGTAGGTACCACTTCCAACTTTCTGTGGATTTCTTCTGGGCCTTTTTAACCCCAAGTCTTGGTGGATCTGAAAGAAATCAGCTCAGGGTTGGCTTTTCCATGTGCATGATTCCTTGATGTCCTATCGGAACAGTAGAAATTTCTGCTGCACATAGCATGACTGTGTTCCAAAACTGATGGTGTCTGGATTGTGGTTCTTGCATTAGGGCTTGCCGTCAACCTAATGGCATCCTTTTTACTACTGGTATTTCCAATACTATAGGATCTATCGGGTTATATGGCCTGGGAGGTAGGGCTGTCCACACTGCTACCTGGATCTACTGCAAAACCACTTCTACTGCTGGGCCCCACTCAAAGCTGGCCACATTTCATGTCAGACAGAATGAGTCATATTATTCTCAGTTGTGGAATATGCTGTCTCTGTGATCTGAAGAGGCCTTCTAGGCACTGTGCTTCTTTCTTCATGGTGGGAAGTGCAAGTGCAAGAAGCAGTAATTTGTCCTGTACTTGGAAGGGGATGTCTTGCCATGCCCTAGGGCACTGGACCCTAAAATTTTGCTAATGTTGTGGGTCCTTAAAACTTCTTAGAGGTTCTCCCTCTCTTCTGGAGTTCTTGTGTTTTACCAAGGCCTTCCACAAAAAGTTACTTTTTGTTCATCTTGTCTAATTAGCATGATGTTATCAATATAGTGGACAAATGTGATATTCTGCAGGGTGTCTAGCCCGTTTATGTCTCTCCAGAGTACGACGGAGGGAAAAACAGTTAACATAGATTTGGGGTGAGAATGTAAATGTATGGCCCGTGCAGGGGCTACCCTAGACACACCGTGTTCGGTCTATCACTCCGAAGCTTTACCAGGGTGTTAAAACCTGTATGTTGGTAGAGTGTTTCTTAACTGGTAGACTTTTGCTCCACATCTTTGATCATGCACCCTCATAATCCAGTGACACACATAATCTCTCAGCTCTTCCTTTGGATTCTACTATTGCTTTGGGATATAGTCCCTTTCCTTCCTTATGAGCCCCAGCACATCTGTGGTCTAGTTTCGGTGTTACTTAAGGCTATGTTAGGGGGCCTAGGTACCAGGAGAAAAAAGTGGGGGGAAAATCCTGGGGGAATTCATGTCTTGCTGAGGAAAAGCCTCTGCATTGTCTTAAAAAAAAATGGAGGAATGTGTCATTAAGGAATTTGAGGACTCATGATTTGGGGCATCATCAACCCCATCTCTTGTGTCATGGTCCCATTTCCAACCAGGGCTCTGGCCTTGGCATAGAAAATATGCACTGTTTAAGAGTTTAACCCTCTTTGGAGCTCTGCTACTCTTAATATTTGGTCCTCAGCATTCCCTGTCTTCCTACTGCAGGAATTGAAAAACTTTTTCAATGCTACTGAAAAGGCCTCTGGTTTTCATACTTAGCTTTTAATTGTCAATTATCTTTTCCCTATTTTTTTTTTTTCTAGAGCATTAATGGAGCTTTGCGATTGTCACTCTTATTAGCACAGATTTTTATATCTGCATAGGGAAGACCTTGCAATGGAGTGATAGCTGCAAAAATATCATTTCGGGTCTGATGGGTTCAGACAATAAGAGTTTTTAATGGAATCTCTCAGAGTTTGAAAAGAAACCAGAAAACAGACTATTTTTAGTGATTTGGGTACAAGTGAGCAATAAAGGCCAAATGGAGGTCTTAGCATTACTTGAAAGCAGTAGTTCTCAACTGGGAGCAAATTTGCCCCCTGGGGGGATGTTTGGCAATGTCTGGAAACACTTTTGATTGTGAAGACTAGGGAGGAGCCTGGACTATTGGTATCTATCGGGTAGAAGCCAGAGATGCTGCTAAACATCCTACAAATACACAAGATGCCCCCCCCCACCCGCCCCATGAAAAAGTAGTCTGCTTTCCAAATGTCAACAATGCCAGCGGAGAAACCCTGACTTAACAGTTATTACATTCCAAGAAGAGGAAACGCTCAATACCTAAAATGTGTTTAGACTCGTGAGCCTATCTTGACCCACGACCTGATGTAAAGGAAACTTTGTTCATAGTGTATGCTTCTCTAATTCCAGTTAATTGTAGCTAGTGCTTTATGGTGTTCATAAGGCAGGGGATTACTTTATTTGACCTTTTACTCACTTAAAAACAGAAAAACTCAGTTTGAATATAAAGTCTCGATTTTTACTCATAAACCTCTTTATATTTTGCAATTCCCAATCCAAGTTCTCCGTGAAATTGGGTTGAGATAAAGGGAGGCCAAGATCTCAGATTCACTCCTAGAGATACTGTATTCCACGGGACTGAAAAAATAGGGAATTCGGGGCCTCGGATGACCCTCCCAAGGAAACATTAGATTCTGCTGCTCTTCTTAGGGTCTCTATCAGTCCGACCTATCGGTTTTGACATTACTGCTGCCACCCCCGAAGAGGACTGCCCGCCTGTCTCCGCACAAGGCCAACAGGTAACCCGTCCCGGCAGATTCAGCCAGGCAGCCCTGGGTCCCCAAGCACTACGTAAACTCCCAGCGAACAGCGCTCTTTCGAAGGGGGGCGGAGCGCGGGCGAAGGGGCGGGGGCACACACCTCTCCCGCGCACTAGGCGCGCCCCGGGGCCGCCCAGACAGGTCCAGGTTGGAGGGGGCGGTCCCGGCGGCGGGCGCAGGCGCTGGCTCGCGCGCACCCCGGCCCCACCGCCCAGCCCTCCGCCGCTGTCCGCCCTCTGCGGGGCGGGGAAGGGCGCGCGAGCGGCAGCCACCAGGGCCCGCCCCTTCGCCTTCCCGAGCGGGAGGGCGGCGCGGGGAGGCGGGGCCGCGGCGGCCGGCCCTGTCTGCGCCTCGCTGGCCTCGGAGCTGGCAGACGTTCGGGGGAACATGGCGGCGGCGGAGCTGGCTGTCCCGGCGCTCTCCAATAGCGGCGGCGCGGGGGCGCCGTCGGGCACGGTCCCCGTGCTCTTCTGCTTCTCGGTCTTCGCGCGGCCCTCGTCCGTGCCGCACGGCGCGGGCTACGAGCTGCTCATCCAGAAGTTCCTCAGCCTGTACGGCGACCAGATCGACATGCACCGCAAATTCGTGGTGCAGCTCTTCGCCGAGGAGTGGGGCCAGTACGTGGACCTGCCCAAGGGCTTCGCGGTGAGCGAGCGCTGCAAAGTCCGCCTTGTGCCGCTTCAGATCCAGGTGGGTCCCGCGGGAGGGCCGCGCGCCCAGCCACCGTTCCCGGTACCCGCGCGTCCCTGTCTCCGCCCCCGCCGCGCTCCTCAGGTGCCCCGCGCCGCCCTGGCGCCGGGCCCTGCGCGCCTCGCTGGCTTGGAAGGGCTGCGCCGCGATTGCAGTCCTTGGGGACGGCCCAGAGAATGGGCCAGTCCGAAGGTGACGGTCACCAGCTGTCCTCGCCCGAAGCGGGGGCGTGGGCCTCCCAGCGCGTCCGGGCAGGCGCGAACGCCCCCACGTGTGTGGTCCTCGACCGCCCGCATCCGCTTTGTGTGCCAGGAGCAAGTCCAGCCGCCTGCGTAACCCAAGGGCTGTGCGGTACTAACTGTGATTTTCTGTGGAAGTGCTGCCGAATGGGGTAAAGAGTTGACGCGGAGTGTTGGCCTAAGGGTTTGTTACCCGGAGTTGTGTTTACCACTTGCGGAAACACAAACTTCAGGAGTCAGACCTTTCCCGGCTCCTCTCCTCAGCTTACAGTTCCTGGAGCTTAAGCCTCCCCTAACCTTAAGTGCGTTTTCTCGTCCTGGTAACTGGTTACTGAATCTGTTGATGATATATGCGTCGCCTTCGTTGAAAAAGTCATTTGACTCCAGGACTGTAATACCTTGTTAATTACCCAACTTTCGCTCCACCAGGATTTTCCGATGGTGCTGGTTGAGAAAGTTGTTGCACCTGAGGATTATTTTTATAGCTTTTAGATATTTTTTTTTTGAAGTCATGCACTAATAACTATGCGAGCCTGTCTCTTGTCCTTTTTACGCTCAGAGGCTTCACTGGAGGATTTTTATTTTTGAAAAGCGAGGACATAAGGTATATTTTAGGTACTACACTATCAATTTTTCTTTCGTTGAGAAACTGATAAGCCATTTCTTCGGAAGACCAAACTGAAATTTGGGAATCAGGCTTAGGAGGCATTTTAATATTCAAGTGTCATATTTATCTTTTTTTGTTTTTGCGTGTCATATTCTTAAGATTATTCTCTAGATTTTTTTTTTTTCCCCTAGCTGTAGTCAGCTAGCTGCAGAATTGGTTTTGTTTCTTATCACCCCAGCACCCATGCCAGAAGCTTCCAAAACAGATACTTTTACCTGGATAAATTTCCTGTGTTCAGAGGACAAAGGTTATGAGATTCCACTGTTTACCTGTGTGGGGATTCTAGAGGGGTGATCTCTGATACCCCAGATTTGCCCTGTTTTCCAGACAGAGAATTGTGAGAATTGTGGTGGGTAGGTGTTTACTAGCCCCCCATTTTTATGTCTTCAAGAGTTTTCATGGCTGACACCTCTCTGCAGCCTTCCTTGCCAGTGTATTTAGGTTATTGTTGCCAAAATACCCAAGAAGTTGGATGCACCTTTGACAAATCCATTAATAAAGGCCAGAATCCAAATTCTAACTGAGGAGGTCTGGAGCTGAACTGAAGATGCAGACTTCTTTGTGATGCATTTCCTGTAGTGGTTGGGAGGGAGGGTGGGCTATACCTAGTAAGATGTTGTCAAACTAGCTACCCCCGCACCCCACATTTCTAAGTCTGTTTTAACCCCCCAAAGTTCAGATTTATTTATTTTGAAACATTCAAGGCCTAGGTCTGCCAACTCTTTTTAATGAAACATTCTGGAAATTAATGATGTATATGTGTATACCTGAAATGTCCTGTACATTCTCAAAAGCCATTTTATAATTCAGGTGACTTGTGGCTTTTGCTTGGTATAGGAGATAACATTTTTTTTGGTGCTGATGTTTAAAATAATTATCATAATAGCACAACTCTGTTCCATCTTTTTAAAAATGTTATTTATAGCCCACTAAATAGCCCAAGAGTTCTTAAGAGTCTGTTATATAATACTTTAAATATTTTAAAGTTTTTAACAATATTTTTCTTTATATTATCTCCTTTTAGTAATCATAATACTATGACTTCTTCGGCCCGCTGCCTCCTCCAGCCATAAAATAAATGTGGAAGGCTACACACACTCCATATATATCCGTAAAGCTATGCTGATACCTATTTGTATGTATATATGTGTCTATATATATATAGATACATGTATCCTTATGTGTGTATATACTCAGAAGTGAAAGGGAAGATAGTTCTTTTCATGAACGTTTTATTACACGTTTTTGGAACCTAGCTGTATGATCCTAGAGACATGGACATTTTATAGCTAAATGAGACCATAGAGTTCATCACAAGAACATTTGAGTGGCAGCTTTAAGTGCCTGGCACGATGAATCCAAACATGGATAAGACCCCATTCTTGTTCCTTACCTGATAACCTAACTCTCATTTTGCAAAAGGGCGGAACATAGAGGAAATTTGCCCAAGGTTCTCTGGTAATGGTGGGGCATCAAGTCCTCCCTCGTAGCTGACTATAGCATTCATCTTCTCTCTTCGTGCTTAATGAAAATATCAAGCAGAATAGAGGACAGGCCACAAACTTGAGCTTGTAATATTATTTGTTTGGCTGGTGTTCACTGTCCTTTGGAATCAATGCCTGTCACTTAGGAAGGCTCAAGATGGCCCATCAGTGAGCCGTGTTCCTGGGGCACGATAGGCCCTTTCTCCCAGAGGCAGGGACAGAGAGCATAAGTTTGGCCCCATGTAGTCCACTGCTTAAATAATATAACTTGTTATTTCCTTGACCATAGAGCTTAGAGCCTCTAGGGCCCTGGCTCACATACCGTATATTCTAGAGTATATTCTTAATTTACATAGGGGAGTGACTTTCTTTTCATGTTTGTTCTGTTACTGCTATGACCTTGACCTTGTAAAATGCGGTGGTTTCCTGTGCCATACTTGTGCACCTGTGGTGGGTTAGCGGTTCTGTGGGGACCGATCGTTGAGACCCTCGGTGTCAGTATGGGACTTTGGAGTGTCGCCTTCTCTGAAGTCATCTGTCACAGTGACTGAGCGTCTGCTGACAGCTCAGGTAGCTGAAGACAGCTCATGTTTTATGTGTCTTCGGCTTTGTCAGAATGCTTGAAGTCTGAGGCGTTTTGAGACGCGGAGGAAGAAAGGTAAATGAGAGGATTAAACGGTGGGCATTTGGGTCATTTTTATAACTTACAAGTTTTAATTTTTCCAAAGGCATTTCCCAAGTTTTTACTAACGGAAGCATTCAACCCTGGAAACTCCTGTACATTTGATATCCTACCACCACCAGCGTATTTTCCAGCTTGTCACCATGGAAGGCAGAGCCCGAACAGAAGAGAGGAAGAGGTGGACATGAGGAGGAGGATGCCAATGAGGCCATTTTGCCTCCGTACGGAGGAGGGAAGGCTCTGGCGGCTTCGTGTGGGGCGGGAGATAAGGACTTCCCTGGGAACGTTATTTTGACCTTTCCTGAGATGGTTAATTGGGAAGGGATTTGGCTCCAGCACCTTCACTTTCTTAGAGGTTTATTACTACTGTTATTATTTTTAACAGAGGGCATGACATTTACTAGCCAGAAGAGACCCCAGAGTTCATGGTGGGAAGGGAGAGAAGACAGGGTTTGGGAAGAAGAAGAAAAGGAATCTGTCCCCCCTTGGGCTCGCTGGTTTGAAGGTGGTGATTTCTGATTATGAAACCTTTACTGTGGGAGCACGTAGGAGGAGCAGATAGATGGTAATGCTCAGAAACAGTAGAAGCAGGCGGGACAGATCTCTGGGAGGTGAACAGTGTCAGGGCACTGAGAGGAAACATCTGGATCATGAGGGATGTGGTTGGTCTCTCCCCCATTGGTTTGATGGGATTTTGTGTGTGTGTGTGTGTGTATGTGTGTGTGTAACTTCCAAAAAATTTAACATTTTAGATTACTGCACTGTATGCTTTTTTCCCCTTGTGGAGGCTACCTGTAAATAAGCTGTGTTTGAGCGTGGGAACTATGAATTTATTGATTGATTACATGAAGCCCATTGAAACCTTGAAGTAGCCCTCTGAGGTGGATACTGTTTTGTTGCTTTGTTACAGATTGAGACACTGCTGTTTGAAAATGTAAATGATTTGTCTGATTTCATGTAATTGAATTTAGGGAAATTGAGATTTGGTCTCAGAGTCTAACGCCCACAGCTCTGCTGTGTAGGGAGCCTTGTAACCCCAGGGGAATCACGTCATAAAACTCTGTTTTAAGGGAGTCCATGTTGGAGCAAGGCCTTGCTGTAGCTTTCCTGGCTCTTGGTGGTTTGCTGGCGATCTTTGGCATTGCTTGGCGTATAAACCCATCACCTTCATCGCTGCCTTCATGTTCCCAAGGCCTTCTCTGTCCAAATTGCCTCTTTTTATAAGGATGCTAGTCATGTTGGTATCGGCACTCAACCCTGCCCTAGTGTGACCTCATCTTGACTAATTATTTTTCAATGATTCTGTTTCCAAATAAGGTCACTTTCTGAGGTCCGGGGGGTTAGGAATTCAACATATGGATTTTGGGGAACAGAATTCAACATGTAACACTCACCGTGAATTGCTTTTATGGAAGAACAGAACTGGGGCACGGAAAGAGCATCACTGAGCAAGGTCAGCCTCCCTGTATGTGCCCGTCCTGAGTAACCAGGGACACTTAGCAGAGGAGGGACACGTTCCTTGCAGATGGACAGCCACTGTTAGAAAATGGTCAGAACATAGGTGGTAGTGAAGAAAGGGGAATACTGTCATGATAACCATAATAATGGGACTTGGGGGTGAAAAGTCTTTTGACTGTGAAATTTAAGGTCAGATTCCAGCTATGACATTTCTTAAGAAAGTGGACAAAAATTTATACTTGAAATTGATCTCTGAAACTCTTGCTTGAGGAGGCTGTTGGCTCTGATCAGTTTTTTGTATTTAAATAGGTTTATTGAAATATGTATTATCTATGTGTGTGTATGTATAGAGATGTTTGTAGATACATAGGTATATGAAAGTGTGTATGCACACACATATTTTTATATGTGATTTTTTTCATGTTTCTTGAATATGCAATGATCTGTAATTGCTGTTTTTTACTTGTGACGGCATTTGGTCAAGTGTACTTTTAATTTGTTATCTTGCAGTTAGAGCATGTGTCTGAGCAGCATTTTTAGTTATCTACAAGGTTTGGGTTTAAGAGAAATTCATGACTGAAATTAAGAAGTCTCCGGATTTGGGGCGCCTGGGTGGTTCAGTCATTAAGCGTCTGCCTTTGGCTCAGGTCATGATCCCGGGGCCCTAGGATCGAGCCCTGCATCAGGCTCTCTGCTCGGTGGGAAGCCTGCTTCTCCCTTTCCCACTGTTCTCTCTTGCTCGCTGTATCTCTCTGTCAAATAAATAAATAAAATCTTTAAAAAAAAAAAAAAGTCTCCGGATTTTAGACTCAGGGTGTAATTTAATAACTTACTTGAATTCATGTGGACTTGGGGGCGAGTTGGCGGGACATGGTGAGAGTTTTTCAGGGTTGTTTTTTTGTTTTGTTTTTTCTCCTTTTTATTGTAGCCTCAAAGCCTTCTTTTTGGCTTATCAATTATGCAGGTTATTCATAAAGTAGCATTTTCTTTCCCCAACTACCATAGCGTAGGGATACTTTTTTTGTTGTTTTCTTTAAAAAAAAAAATAAGCTTTTAGTTTTAGCGTAGTGTTAGACTTACAGCAAAGTTGCAGAGATCGCTCAGAGAGATCCTGGATACTTGTACCTAGTTTCCCCCCCTGACTAACATCTTACATTACTGGGCACAATGCTGGTCACAGCCAAGGAACCAGCATTGGTACGTATGATTCTCTGAGCTCTACACTGTATTCACATTACACCAGTTTTTCCCGAGTGCCATTTTTCTCTTCTACAATCCATTCTTGGATGCTAATTATGTCTAGTTGTCATGTCTTCCTAGGCTCCCCTGGGCAATGACAGTTTTTCAGATTTGTATTGTTTTTGATGACATGATGGTTTTGACGAGTATTGGTCAGATATTTTGGTAGAATGTACCTCGGTTTTGGTTTATCTGATGTTTTTCTCATGCTTCAAATGGGGTTGTGGGATTTTGAGAGGCAGATCGTGAAGGTCGTTCTCATCACATTTTTTCAAGACGGTACGCTATCAGTGTGGCATCACTGATTATCTCGGTTTTGATCACCTGGCTGAGGCAGTGTCTGCCAGGTTTTTCCACTGTCAATAGTCACCTGACCCCCCTATATTCTACTTTGAGGAAGCAAATTACTTCATGCCACCTCCAAGGGGATGTCAGGAGTTGGACTCTGCCTTACAGAGAGGAGGATATCTGGGCATTTTTGATTCACTAAATTATAACCAGTCATCTCTGCACAAAAACATGCCTTGTCACATTATCTCTGTCGTTTCTGTTTGCTGAAGGTTAATAGATGAGTTCCTGTACTAAAAGCGTTTTGCAAGGTGCTGAGGATTTTATGGCAGCATTTTCTGACGTCCTCAGTCTGTGTCTACTATGACATATATCTGATGTGGCCCCCTGCCCAGAACAGGAGACCTCACAGCTGAAAGGAGGTAGGAACAGAAACCCCAGGAGACCACAACTATGAATATTTAGGGTTTCTGGGTAGGTAAGGCTTTATTCCTTTAAGTATCCCAGTAGTAAATATTTTGGCCACTTCAATATCGTGGTCCTGAAGTATTATATAATTTAACATTTTCTTATTGAGTGTGCTAAAATGTCCCAATTTATAAGTTATATACATACTTCTCCACTAGAAGTCTAGATGTGGAACTAATTGAGTTTTGATCTTTTAGTGTATTTTGAATCTTGTCTCTGTCATCTATCATTTCTTACCAATACCAGTTTGCCTATCTCCAGCAGCTTCCGTTCTGATTTGCTGTTTATAACCTTCTGTGAATTTAGGGTCAGGACGACTAAACTTGTTAGGAATGCATACTGAGTTCGTCCATTATCTGAGATGAGATCTGCAAGCTGGAGATAAAGCAGCTATGAGCCCTAAGTATGATAATGGTTGGCCATCCGGCACACTTACTTTGGTTTACTTGGCCTGCTTACTGCTCTCACTGCTGTGGAATGACGAGAATGGCTGAGTTGCATTGCTCTAATTTGAAACTGACCAGTTGCAGGTAAACCACATTCCATCATGTGCCCTAAACACATTGTAGGTGTCTAGGGACCCACTTAGACTTTGAGCCCTTTGATCCAAAATTTAATTTTTCCTGAGAATTTAAAATACCTATTTATAAATAGTGATTGGTTTTAAAAATTGTGTCCTAGGTACTTATATATACATGCTCACTGTTTTGGAAAATGACACTTGCATTAAAAATTTAAGGGAGCAAACAGTTAAAGATAGAATATATAATTTAAGATGCTTGAATATTTATTTTAATCATACTTTATTGGCAAAGTAGGGAAACCCTATGCATAGTGTTAGAATTACAGATGGCACTCCCATTCTGCCATGAACTTGGTCTGTAGAGTTCACACCGAAGGGAGATGGGTACCAGAGCACCTAGATAAGAAAGTACAAACTCACTGGAAGGATAAAAGATTCCTTTTAATGATTCACTTAATTTCTGTGGTGACTGTTTCCTGAGAGTAGCCCTCAGTGGTAGGGTCTGTAGGGAGGGTCTAGGGCCAGGCTGGTGGGGAAGCCACCACCATGTAATTGGGACACAGGTTTCTCTAGAAAATTATTAACAGCTATTATCCATGGGTGGTTTTAGGGCAAAATGGGAAAGTTAGGGGGGAGATCTAAGGGCTCGCTAGTAAGAGGAGGGGCGTGGGTTCATTCAGGACTGGACTGCTTCCTCTACAGTGCTTTCTGAAATTTGAGAAGGTAAGAAGAAAAGCATCATGGACCTTTAAGAATCCATGAGTGACATGAAATTCTTAACATTCACCAGTGGTTTTCACTTCTTTTGTAGATTCATACTGGGCCCAAGTTGTTCCTGTAGAGCGACTCTGGCAATTAATTAAAGCTGGGTAATCTAATGCCTGTTTTTAACCTTAATTCATTAATTTCCTGATGGTGATGAATATGTTGAAGAATGCAGGTGTCCAGTTTATGTCTGTCCATTGAACAGTGGTGATGTGCCTGGCATCATTTCATTGCATTTCTTTTTTGAACTCTGAGAGAAGTTATTCCTGAGAACAGCATCTTAATATTTCTGTCTTGATGACAGAGCGATTCTGGATTTGTTTCTGTTTTTTCAGTTTTATGTTCCATAGTCTTCTGCTACAGATTATTTTCAGGATTACTTTTCGTACTTGTAAGCAGTGCCATCATCAAACTTAGTTGTTTACTATTGTAACATTTTTTTCTAATTAAAAGCAATGCATATTTTTAAATAACATTTGGGAGGGTTTTTAAGTAGCATTTGGAGAAGGTAAGAAACGTATAAAGAAAAAATATTACCAGCACCCGTAACTGTGTAACTACTTGTTAATACTTTCATATATTTGCTTCTGCCTTCTATTTATATTTTTACATGATTGAGATACTGTTGAACTGTGCTCTCTTTTTAAAATTAACATTATATCATGAGTATTTCTTCATAGGTGGTTCAAATATTTTGAACACTTATTTTCATATGTTATTTTAGTTCTCTAAAACAATGTTTTATCATGGGACTGTGTTAAAATTTGTGAAATCATTTCTGTATTGTTGGTCCTTGGTTTATTTCTCATTTTCACTATTAAAAGCAATTCAGTCAACATCTTTGTGGATAACTTTTTTTTTTTTTTTCCTGTAATTCAGATCTCTTCTTTTGGATAATAGTTGTAGAAATTGGCTTACTGGGTCAAACAGTAGGAACACTTTTCTCCTTTATTGACCTCCACTGAAAATAAATGTCGTTGTGTAACGAGTGCTAAATCATTCTTTTTTCTTTTCTCCTCAGCTCACCACCCTGGGAAATCTTACACCTTCAAGCACTGTGTTTTTCTGCTGTGATATGCAGGAACGATTCAGACCAGCCATCAAATATTTCGGAGATATTATTAGTGTGGGACAAAGATTGGTATGTTTGCTTGTTTATTTTTTCCAATTTCCTGAAGCATAGTATACATGTATATATTTACAGATATGTATATTGCTAATTATCTTTGGTTTTTGTTTTTTCCAGTTACAAGGGGCCCGAATGTTAGGAATTCCAGTTATTGTAACAGAACAGTACCCTAAAGGTCTTGGAAGCACCGTTCAAGAAATTGATCTAACAGGTGTAAAACTTGTCCTTCCAAAGACCAAGTTTTCAATGGTAGTACCAGAAGTAGAAGCAGCGTTAGCCGAGATTCCTGGAGTCCGGAGTGTTGTATTATTTGGAGTAGAAGTAAGTGCCTATTGTTATGTTTGGGATACAATATCATTTGTAGAAGAACTTGGTTATTTCGACAGTGCAATTTTATATATAGACTAGGTGGTACGTGATAGTAATGATGAAAAACATCCACCCTTTATTGAGTGTTGACTCTTTGCATGGCAGTGATCTGTATCTCTTCATTCATTTAACACTCCCAGTGACTTTCTGAGCCAATGAAGTACTTTTGGTCTCCCCCTGTTACAGATGAGGAAACTAAAACACACATGCTGTACAATTTGCTTGAGGCATGTAGCTGGTTAAGGGATGGAGTTGGATTTGAATCTAGGCTGATCAATTCTTGGGCCTTTGCTTTTAACTACTACTTTTGGGGCACATTTTCATCAGAGGCGTTATTTTTATTTATGTGTTGTAGGATTTCACCTTGGTCATATTTTTGCTGTAGAAAAACCTTAGAAGTCATGTAGTTCATTGTCCTTTATGCTTAAATCACTGACATATCTTTTTAAAAAATACTCATGGATTCCTCATGCTGATTAAAATGATTTTTGTTGATCTCTTTTTTTGCATATGTATAAACAAGATATATGTATTTATTCATAGCATTTAAACAGCTATTGAATTACATTTAAGAATTATGGAAAAAATCATAAATACAATGAAATCCAAATAGTATTAATTTAATATACCTATGATGGTAGGTTTTATACAGTAGGTTTTAAGAGTAGAAAGATGCAGCCTTAGGTTTAGGTGTGCATTAAATATTTTTGTATCTTGACTTCAATAATGATAATATAGAGGAAGCCTGTTTATGTAAATATGTCCTGCCAAATATTGTCACTGACTTGGGCACTTTTTTTGCTCATTCATCATTATTAGACCTCACGCCTAATCAAAATCATCTTTGAACACTCCTCCAGTGCCAATTTTAATGGCATGTCAGTTGATAATTCTCCAAAGCTCACTCGTCACATGCACATAAGGTTGGCATCCTGGTATTATTGAAATGTGCTTTCATTGCTTATATAACGGAGCTCTTGTCGGGCGTGGTTTTGCTCTGTATTCTCTGCTAATGAATTGTTACAAGTTAGTACCTACAAAGATGGAATCTCTCTAATACATCTGTCTGTGCTGTATACTGGATACTTTTTGCCTTTGTCACTTGTTATTTTTAACTTGGCCCACCTTTACTACTGAATACCTCGTACCAACTTAGTTTTTCTACTCATTTCTCCGTCTACAGTACTGCTGGCTCATTCTTTGTGTTAGGCACTCAGAGTGAGTTCAGAAATAAACCAACCGTGAGTGGCATCAAAATGGAGTGGTAGTAGCCAGCCCTAGGAAGGTCATCCAGATGACAGATGAAAATCTTTTTAAAAAAATTCTCATGGAGCTCCAAGAATATGTTCGAGGATCCTAGTGTGAGGAAGCGTGAGGTAATGCAATTTCTGACTTTACAGTGAGGAAACCAAAGCCTGAGGTGCTGTTTATTTTCAAGATCACCTAGCAAGTTAGAGGCAAACCAGATGTAGGACAAGGTCATGAGAACCGTAGTGCTTTTTCCTGCTTTATCGTGTTGTCGCACGTTTGTGAAATGTGTGACTGCATTATTACGTAGGATTTTTAATTTTCCTCCTAGACTCATGTGTGCATCCAGCAAACAGCTCTGGAGCTTGTTGGCCGAGGTATTGAGGTTCATATTGTTGCTGATGCCACCTCATCGAGAAGCATGATGGATCGGATGTTTGCTCTTGAGGTAATTGTCCTGCTTGAAAATAAATAATTTATCAACGTTTCCCAATTAATTCGAAGAATCATGAATACTTCATAGCAATGAAAGAGTGACATCTTCAATTTTAGTTTCTTCTAACAACATCAGACTCATCGACTTCCAGAGTCTTGATGGTGCGCTGACCGCCCTTTGAGGTCTTGCCACTAAATCTTGTTTCATATCCTCTGTCTCCTCAGATCTAGGTTTCTGGTGACACCAAAAGCTCTTGTACATCTTTCCTCATAACTTTGCTATAGTTTGATGCATGAACTTGTAAGAGGCATTCTGGTAAGCTTAATCTGCCTCATTGAGAGATTTGCAAATCAGAAACAGCCCACCGAGGTTGAACTCAGCCCAGCCCTAGGGCATGGTGGGCCTAAGCCTGGTTCAGCCTCTGTTGGGTTTCCTCGGACTTGAATTTCTGGGCATGGGAGGTGTGTCGCTGCCCGTGGACGCCACTCACACACAGTGTTTCTTGGCTGTCTGCCCCAGAGGGTCAGGGTGGACCACGGTCAGGGAATCAGAGATGTTTTGTCAGTGTTGCTTAACAGTACTCTTTCATAAGCGTTTTCTCTTCCAAGACTGTTGAAAAGCAAACTACCACGTAATCCTTTGAAACAGGTCACTCCATATTGTGGATTGTTGTCTCTCTGACATTTAATTCTAGTTCTGTAATAATTTTAGAGTCATGTCCATGTGGATTGAGTTGGCATGTTCTTTAACTGATGATTTTTACTGAGAATGGGAGATACAGATATTTTTGTCGTCGTTGTTGAGATCCTCCGGTGTTCTGGCCCAAGCTGGCCTATGAACCACTTTCTCTGTTGGACTGCAAAGTCATCGCGTTAGCTGAGAGCGTTCCCAGGGGCATTGAGGTAGAGCACATGAGAGCGTCAGAGGCCAGGAAGGAGCAAAGTCAGTGCAGAGGGCCGATGTGGAAGCAAGTCGGGGCTTGGCAGCAGCAGTTTCTTTAAGGCCCTGGTTGGCCGTCCCTTCTCTAGGAAGGCTGAGCTCCAGAACTTACAGTGTTTCCATGGAAGTGGAAAACTAAAAACATCCAAAAGTAACAATAATCTTGCTTATAAAGAAATTGCAAGGACTTTTTGTCCTCCGATCAAATCAGTTTTTGAGACATGTCTTTATTATGGCATTTATTACAAAAAATTATGATGGTTGGCACTTCTGTCTTCTCCTAAGAGTGGGAATAAAAACATGGTGAACCTCTTCACCGTCTGACACTCTTTGAGAAGTAGTCTGACCTCAGTGATTAGGAGTCCAGACCCTGGAGGGATAACACGGGTTTGAACGCAGGTCTTAATTTTCGATGGAGGTGTTGTAGTCTGTACCTGAGTTATTGGGAGAAAGGTTAGGTTTTTTTTTCTCTTACTGTAGGACTTTGAAAGTTAAAGAGCAATCCGGCCAGCTCGCCTTCCCTGTTCCTATGTTCTAAAGGAACAGGGACTACTTTAGAACATAGCTACTCACGGAATTCCTGAGACTACCCGTATTGCCTGTTGAGATTATTACACTAATAAGATTTATAGTTACTATTACTGAAACTTCAATGCTGGCATTTGTGGCATGTGCTTTCTTCAACAGAATATTTTGAGCACCGACCATTTGTCAGGCATTGTTTTTTCCAACTAGTAATTGTAGAGTAAATGTAGAATAAAATAGAATGAAACCCTCTCTGGAGCTTGATACCCTTGGACTTGTGGGGGCGCGGGGGGTGTTCATGTTGATTGGAAATTTACTGGGTTTAGGTTTTTTTCCCCCTTTGCCCTCTCTGAAAGCCTCGTGGCTTTGTGCCCTTGCATTTTGAGGTTTGTGGGTCAGAATAACTTTGCCTTTGGCCTTGCTGGACTGGTTTTGTGAGCGTAGGGGATGGACTTGGGAAGCTGACGAAGCCCTCTACCTGTGTGCATTAAAGAGCCGCTGTTTGAAGTTTTCACCTCATTTTCAGCCAGGAGAGAAACAGAGTTTGGGAGCAGGGCTGTAGGTGTCCTAATAGCGCACGTGAGTGTGCACAGACCTGCCCGTGTCTACAGAAGCTGTTGCTTTTCTCTTTCTGCCCGGTCACCTTTCAGTTTGGGGTTGGCAGGCACCGTGGGAAGGTCCGGGAGGCTGTTTGGAAAACTTTGCATGTTGCTGAGCCACGCCTTCTGCTTACACAGGGTTTTGGCTTGATTTTTTTTTTTTTTTAATCCAGTCAACCTTGGCCATATCTCCGTCTTGAAGCTACGGAATGCTGCCCTGGTGTCAGTTGACTAAGATGTGTCTCTGTGCCTCGAGCATCCCAGCCTCCCTCTGCCCCGGTGACCCAACTCTCAGCCTCACCGAGGAGTGTTGGCCTGGAGTCAACCAGACTGTGGTCAGCGGAGCACTGGGAAAAGCTGGTGTTTTGGGGGTCATCAGCTTTCTTCCTTAGACCTGGGAACAGTTCTCTGTCCTTCCTGCCTCACAAAGGACCTAGAAAGATGAGCGAGAACTGACCTCTGTTGGCACTTTTGCACATATCAGGCACTTTCACAGACACTGCAAGTGTGTGATTGAGAATCAGAGTGAATCATTGAGAGTCCCCCGATTGAACCGCGGGCGGGGAGGGAGGCCGGGCCGGGCCTCCAGCTGGTGAGCGTGGGAGCCGCGTTTGACACCTGACACAGCTGAGCTGCAGCTAGTCTTACATTTGCCCCCTGCTCTTCTCTGGGAGGGAAGCACACGGTCCTGGAGATTTCTAAAGGTTTTGATAGGATCGTCAGAAGTGGACTAAAAGGAGGACTTTAGTTTCCAGAAGTCTTTAGAAAACTCACTTTCGGGTATTTGTCCCCAACATAAAGGGTACCAGCACGCTTGGGTTTTTTTCTCCCTCTTTCCTGCGTAATCCTGCTTGAGCGTTCTGGTCAGCTGCTCTGCATGCTCTTCTGCACGTTCTGCTGGGCTGAGGTCCACGCTGGCTTCCCAAGAAGTGGGCTCTGGCTTCTCCCTCCTGCGTGCTTGGGGACAAAAAGGGAGAGTTTGCTCTGCCAGTGGGAAGGTTGGGCCTGCGCATCCGCAAGTGTCCGAAGGCTTCACCTTCACTCTACGAGGATGTCCTGGCTCTTGTCCTGACTCCTTCATGAGGAATGACTGCTCCGGGTCTTTTCCTCTGACCTGCCTAGGAATTGTGTTTAACCACCTGTCTTCCATGGTTCTTAGAGCTGATGGTTCTTGGGACAGCAGTTGGCCAGGTTTTTCCCTATGGTTTCTGATAATAGAGACAGCCAGAGAAGACATCTCTGACTCCAGAATTCTCTCTCATTCCCTTCTCTGTCCCTCTCCTGCTTGTTCTCGACTTTGTCTTCTTTGCCCTCCTCTCTCCATCCTTCCCTCCTTGAGACTTCTGTCCTTGCTTCTCTATTACAATTTCACTGGGGTGATTTGGCAAGGACCTTCTTTGACCTGTCAGCGAAACTTTAAATTTTATGCTCTTGTTTCGTGATTCTGAAGTTTATGGTCGTGGCAGTGCTGGTGGGTCTGTTATCAGCCCAGGGGCACATTCGCACATGTTGCCTGAGGCTTTCCTACCACCAGTCATTTCTTACTTAGGAGAAGGACACACATCGCTGTATATCAGATGTATGTCAGATGTTTGGAGACAGAAAAAGGAAATCAAAGATCATTGTTTTACACTCATAGTCTTGATTTCCCTTCTGTCCCTGGCACTTAGAAGTCATAATATTAGCTTCATGTTTTCTTTTGCTTATTTCTAGTCTGTATTACTGATATCGAGAATAATCATAATCGGTTTGTTGTGTGACTAGTTTGAAATCTGTCCCCATCACTGGATTTGATGGTCTGGCTAAGGACCATGGTTTTTACGCATGATCTTAGCCACAAGGCTAAGAAGCGATTGGACCATGGTTTTAATAGAAGACACTAATTATTGTGACCCGCCATAGCTTTTGCTGTTGTAATACAGTGTTCCTTGTCATGCTCATTTCTTGATTTGTCCTTTTTTTTTTTTTTAAGCGTCTTGCTCGAACCGGGATCATAGTGACCACGAGTGAGGCTGTTCTGCTACAGCTGGTGGCAGATAAAGACCATCCAAAATTCAAGGAAATTCAGAATTTAATTAAGGCGTGTGCTCCAGAGTCAGGCCTGCTTTCCAAAGTATAAGGACATTTGAAGGACTGGTATGGTACTCACCATCAGGTGACAGGACTGTAAGCCCACACTAGCTCTTGTCTCTACTAGAATTAAAATGTTAAAGTCAAAACTTGGCTCCTTTTTTGCGCCTCTTAGTCAAACATAACCAGTTAGACCATTTGGGTGCCAGCATTTAGTTACAAATGTCAAAGGCTTCAGGTGCTGCCTATCTTCTTCTTTTTTTTTTGTTAATGTGCTTTTATTTATTAAAAAAAATTACAATGGAGGTGTCTGTTTTGTGTATACTGTATCCACTGGTCATTTTTTTTTTTTTTAAAGATTTTATTTATTTGAGAGAGAGAGAATGAGAGAGAGCACATGAGAGGGGGGAGGGGCAGAGGGAGAAGCAGACTCCCCGCCGAGCAGGGAGCCCGATGCGGGACTCGATCCCGGGACTCCAGGATCATGACCTGAGCCGAACGCAGTCGCTTAACCAACTGAGCCACCCAGGCGCCCGCCACTGGTCATTATTTTTTAAAGTGAATACTCTCGTGATGTTTTCTTAAATTGTGCACTGTAAAAAAAAAAAAAAAAAAAAAGTACCGGTAATGGTTTGACTTCCGTAGTATTGTTAAGATGTCTGTTGTAGTATGGACTCAGTGCTTTTACTTTACAAGTAGATTGAAATAGGATTATTAGGTGAGAATTTCAAACAGGCCTATGGATCATGCTACCCTTTCCTTCACAATGCAGTCAACTACTTGAGTGAGTTGCACTGATCTAACCAAATAAATGTATATTGAATAATTATATGTCTTTCTTGACGTTGCTAATTTTCTTATTCTAGTTGCCATCACTCATTCTCTGTTAATGTTCTCTCTCTTTTTTTTAGCAGAATCTTTTACTTAGAAATACTCATTGGGCCATTCTTTGTTTTAATTTTGCAAACAGAATGGTTTGCAATGTTATAAAATTAGTGGAGAGCTCTTTTAAATTTTTTACTTTGGCCAAATGTGTTTGCAACAGTGTTGAATACATCTTCTAATATGCACCAGATTTAGCAAAGAGTTACAGGTTGGATAAAATGGAGTTTTCAAACGTCCATATTCTAATTTGGTGTTTTCTCTACCTACCCTCCAAATATTATAGTTAATGCAAAGGCTTGAGTCATGATTTGGTCGTGTTAATTTTGTAGTCATTGCTACCCTTCAATAAATTTATTTTCTTTAAAAACTTATAAGACGGTTCTAAAACTTTTTTTTGTATTATGTGAAATATGGAACATTGCTGTCTTTTATATTAAAGTAATTAAAGAAAATGTATTCTGTGAATGAAATTATTTTGTCCCCCACAACATGGCTTTGTAAGTACTCTGCCAGGAATTCTAATACTTATTTCAAGGTGTAAAACTTTTGACATGTAAAATCTCTCAACCAAAGGGAATTTTCTTTTCTTTTTTTTTTTTATTCATGAGAGACAGAGAGAGAGAGGCAGAGGGAGAAGCAGGCTCCCAAGGAGCAGAGAGCCCGATGCGGGACTCGATCCTAGGACCCCAGGATCATGACCTGAGCTGAAGGCAGTCGCCCAACCAACTGAGCCACCCAGGCGCCCCAACCAAAGGGAATTTTCAAAGGAAACTCCTTTGCAGGTGGGGCAAATGGATTTTACTGAAGGGCCATGTCATGATTTAAGAGCAGTAGAAATGTTTATTTCTTTGGTCGGCGGTAACCGACAGCAGCCAGTGGTCTTGTGTGTGCAGTTGAGTATTTTCTTCCCCAGCAAATTTGGGTGTCAAAAACAAGAGTCAGAGATTTCTCCACGTTTTAAAATAGTTTTTAAAAGAACTTCAACCTAGTGCTCCTCAAACTTTAATATGAATGCAGTTCACCTGGGGATCTCGTTAAACTGCTGGCTCTGGTTCAGTAGGTGTGCCCAAGGGCCTGACATTTTGCGTTTCCAAATAAAAACGCCACTTTGCACTGGGGCTGCTCAGAAGGGACCACATTTTGAATAGCAAGGATTTAAGTAACAACACCTGTTTCCCTTCCCTGCATGCACGCCCTTCATACCACCACAGTGAAGCCTTGTCAGAGCTGAAACCCATTCCCTGACCCCCAGGTTAGCTTCCTATCACTACCATAAGAAATTACCACAAACTTAGTGGCTCGACACAACACAAACTTAGTATCTTACAGTTTTGTAGGTTATAAACCTGAAATGGGTATCACTGGGCTAAAACCCATCTTTCCCACTAGATTGTCAGCTCTTTGGAAGCGGGACCTGTGCAGTTTCTACACTCATTCTGGAAACATTTTGAGAACCTGCTAAGTTCTAAACATTGTGCTGTATGCTGAGGATAAAAAGATGCTCCTGGGAAACTTCTGGTCTAGTACAAAGTCAGATATATCATAACCTCTCAGCAAATGTAAATTGAAATAGGTTATGTCAAAAGTTCAGGAATGTCAATAAACCAAAGTTCAGAAGAATATAATTGGGAATTCTGGCTTCTCCCTTCTTTTCACAGATCATGAAAAGCAAGGTGACATGGCCTTGTTATGAGAAGACTGAATTGATTTTAATACATTAGGCTTTGAGTTGGGAAGTGCCTACAATTTTGTAGGATTACAGTATTCTTTTAACTGGTGGAAATAAAGAAGTTAAGCACTGAAGCAGAAGAGTAGTCCCGTGTTGAGGGGTTAGGAACAGGATTAAGATGCTTCATTTATTGAAATGTAAAAACATGTGCAGAACTTTAAAATTAAAAGAAAGAAAAGTGATAACTTACTCCAAGCAGGAAACAAAATACCTTGTTAATATCCATTTAAATATCACATTTCTCTAATCGGAATATTTTCCCTTTTGACAAATTGATGTTTGGATAAATATGACTCGAGCTCTCTGGAACTTGAAAGATCATGATCTCAAAGGTGCGATTCAGCTCTAAAATTCTAACATGTTTTTTTTTTTTCTTCTTTCTGACATGGTTTTATGTTACAAATGTGGCCAGCGAGACCCTGAGATAAATGCCTTTTCTAAACATGCACGTATGGTTAAAGGTGTAGCAGAACGAGCACCAGATTTCTTGACAATTGTCTTGTACTTCCTGACATCGGTGGTTCATGCTGTGAAGATGATCAGAAGGAAAGGAGAGAACAATGAAAAGGAAGCATGTTACAGTCTGTAGAACAGCACAGCCATTGACGTTAGCAAAACCGATGGGATACTCCCTGCGCTCATAGCTCTCCCTGGGCCCGCAGTCTTCAATCTAGTCTTCTTTCTCTCCGGATGGCTAACTAATTCGGGAGGATGGCTGGTAATATGGAAATTATTTGCATTGTCAAATAACTACAAATCAATATTTTCAATCATTAATGCTTCCTTAATCCTCCACGGAGCCTAATTGTCAACGACTAACCTTTGATTAAAAAGAAGTTAAAAATCACTAGGATACCATAATGAGAATTATCAGTTACTTAGATGAGATGGAAATGGATTTTTAAAAGAATTGCAATTGGCTTTAAGAATGCTTATTTCCACGTTGCTTTTCTTCATCAGTTAGGTCTGAACAGATATCAAGAAAGTTTATATTTTTAGAAGAGATTAAAATCCAAAATGGTAGTTCAGTAAAAACAACCTAGTAATTCCTATTGAATAGACTATAATCCCGATTTGCCGGCCATAGGAAACACAATTCCGAAATGGCTCCTAAAGTTCCCACTGTGGTGTGGGAACGTGCGCAGTCTCCGGATCCCAGGTAGGCAATTAAACCTCCCGTGTCGGTAAAGCAGGAAAGGGGTTTTTGCTCAGGTGATTCAAGTTTCAAATCAGTGCACCTTAAGATAGACTGGCTTGGTGGCTTGTATTTAATGAGGGGAAATTTTAAAAGGGACTGGGCTTCTTTCTGAGCAAAGAGATCCCCCCACTCCCTGGGGGGGCAGGGGGGCCCTCTGCTGCTGACTTTGAAGATGGAGGGGATTGCAAGCCTCAGAATGCTGGTGGTTGGCAAAGAAACGAGGACCTCAGTTGTACAAACACAAAGAGCCGAATTCAGCAAACAACATGAGTAGAGTTTGGAAGAATATTCTCCAGAAGCTGCAGAGAAGAACGGGGTCTGGCTGACATCTTGATTTCTGCCTTGAGAGATCCTGAGCAGGTAATGCAACAATGTACCCGGACTTCTACCTACAGAACTGGGAGGTAATACATTTCTTTTAAGTCACTACACTTGCGAGAATTGGTTACACAGCAATGGGGAACTAATATATTTTGCTTTTATTTATTTTTGTAATTTGTAATCATGTTTACCTGAAGAAAAGGAAGAAGGAAGTGGGATGCTGTCAAGAGAATAAAATAATGTCTGTTTTACATTCCAATGAGCTCTTATTAATTTGTTTCCAGAAAAGTGGGCCAGGGAGGGAAAATGTATGTCCTCTAGTCTATTATGTTAATACTGCATTTTTCCTTGTCCTCTTGGCTTTTTGTATTTTTCAATGCAGCAATCGTTAGTTGCACAGTATGTTTTACTACGGAACTCTAAAAGTCACTAGGCTTTAGATTCGTTCATTGTTCTTGCAGCTGCTTCCTTGTTAAATTGTTCCTCCCACTTCAGGCACTAAATGCAAGAAATGAAAGGGGGTGTGTCTCAGGACATACAGTTAATACACAAGTACTCCTTGTTGACGTATATCGAATACATGCAGCTTTGAGTTGGGCTTTTGGAAAATGCCTGTGTGCTTTCAGAATAGCCTGTTTGGCAGCCTCAGCTGAAAATGTGGAATGCTTTGTAAATTACAAGTTGGAAATGTGGAGTTTTTCTTTTTTTTTTTTTAAGAAATTAAGACCCTAGAAAGAATGCATGATACCTACGAAGAACACAAGTGAAAATTGTTGGCTGCCACCCAGACGTTAGTAGCTTCTTGGTTGTATTGTTCTTTCACCAATAAGTAAGCGCTTTATTATTTTAGCGAATTTGGCAAAACTAAGCATCTTACCATACCCATGTTGTATTTCAGCAATTTATTCCTGCAGATAGATAGCATGGTTTCAGTACACCACTGTGTGTGGATGCGTCTCCCATACCTTTCTGCTCAAATTAAAAAAAAAAAAAAAATGGGGTTGTTGGTGAATGGA